GTGGAATGGAATGTTGGAGTTAATTCATCCATTAGCATGTCATTGCTACTCATTCATTCTTCACAGAGTTTAACAGTTTTTTTGTTTGCCTTTCTTTAAAACACTCTTTGTATAATTGGCTTCTTTATGGGAGTTATACAAAGGAAGATTAAAGAGACGCCTTTTGTTCCTGACAAGCCAGGGATGGTTGATATAATGTACTTTGTTAAAGCCCTCGTGACAGGCTTACATTTTGTTATTTCTGTGATTGTTCTTCATTTCCTTGTGTGATCTTGGTATCAGCACAATACATCCGTGCTTGTGCTCTTCGTAAGTGTTGAGTGCCTCCCCACCTGTGTTTGAACACATAAGCCGATCTTTCCTTTGCAGTCATGGAAGAATTACGCAATAGGCCACTCCAGTAAATGCTCAAAATGTTTAGAGGAAGGGAATTAGTATAATCTAACAGTAGTAAGGTATGCTATAGGCAGGTTCATAGCCAGGATTTTGATTCGGGAGGAGCTGAGTTTGATTGGGGGGGGGGGGCTGAGTCTGAGTGAAAGAGGGTCTACCCTAGCAAACCTTTTGTATCGTTACCCCAATACCCCCATGCATATGGGATATATTGAGCATGGTGATCAGATCATGATATGAATAAACATAACAGTTTAAATAATGTACCAGTAAGGTCTTCTCGCGGACCACCATGAGAATTTCAGGGGGGGGGGGCTGAAGCCCCCCAAGCCTCCCCCTGGCTACATGCCTGGCTATAGGGTTTTTAAAAAGCAGTGTGATTCAGGGTTAGTTTCATCTTTGAAATGACCATGTGACACAATTCTCTGCACATTCACTGAGGAGTAAAATACTGCATTCATTGGGCTTACTCCCAAGAATGTATGCATACATTTGCAGTCCTAATAAGATAACTAAACCCTAAATATAAAGAGGGCTGATGTAGCATTGTGACTAAATGCATAAACTGTGAGGTGACTAATCTCTCATTCCACCCACTAGGTAGCCTTAGGCAAGCAGGCCACATGTTCAGTCATTGTCATTTTTTCCTCCGCTATGTGAATACAAAGAATACTGACCTGCCTTATTTAGGCAATCCTTCGTTGTCCAAGTATGATGGCCTTCCAAGTGTAGTGTCTTGACCTGCCTTACTTAGGCAATCCCTCATTGTCCAAATATGATGGCCTTCTAAGTGTAATGTGTTCACAGAGGATACATAGGTGACTGTGGAGCCCTTTTCTTGATCTGCATGTTCTTCCACAGTGAGGGATCGGTTTCCAGGTGGAAGGTGGTCCCAGTCAAGGTTGGCTTGATGAGCCTTTCTCTTGGCATATTTCTCCTTTTTGCCCTCCATTTGTGCCTCTTCAAATTCCCCAGTACTGGTGGTCACAGATAACCTCCAGTTAGAGCGCTCAAGGGCCAGGGCTTCCCAGTCTATCCCACAGTTTTTAAGGTTAGCTTCAAGGCCATTTTTAAATCTCTTTTTCTGTCTACCAATGTTCTGTTTTCTGTTCTTGAGTTGGGAGTATAGTAACTGCTTTGGGAGACGATGATCGGGCATTCGGACAACGTGACCAGTCCAGAGTTGATGCCGTAAAAGCATTGCTTCAATGCTTGTGGTCTTGGCTTCTTCCAGCATACTGACACCCTGCTTTATTGAGCAGGGTGTCCTGCTCAATAATGGAATGCCCATTCATATAACATTTTAAAATGTAATATGAATGTCTGCCCAGCCATCGAGACTCACTAGGTGATCTTGGGCAAGCCACAAAGTTTCTAAGGAAGGCAATGGCAAGCCCCCTCTGTAATGCCAAGAAATCACCGTAATACTGTAACACCGTAATAATACATGAGAAACAACATAAGGTACACATCCAAAAATAAAAAATACAAAAAATAGTTCAGTTTCAAATACTTGTTTTGTCTCTTTTCAAGAGATATATCCATAAAATGCATTATTCCATACAACAATACATTTTTTTAAATTATAATAATACATTTCTTTGAATTATAAAATGATGATATGGGAATGACACAGAAAAACATTTTTTTTACCCCTCACACTTTTTATTACATAGTTTGTATGCAAATAATGTCAGATTCAGTCCCAAAGTGAGATAGTGCTGGTGGGACCACGAAGTCTCCACATTTTCCCCACCCTCAAACTCTTGCTAGACTGGGGAAAATCCTACCTAGAAACCCCGAAGAGATGCTGCCATTTAATTTTTAGCAGTGATGCACTATTAGAATAATGGTCTGATTTTGCATAAGGAAGCCTCTACATTCTGATCAGATAAACTGTCTCAAGTAGCATTGAGTTGCTTTTACCAGTTAAGCTGGTTCCCCCAGATATGGCATCTTCTGGATATGCTGTACTCTGGCCACATGTATCCATATGGCGATAACTTCCACATAAAACCACTGCAATTTGTTCCAGATGGGATTAATGATGGTTTTGAAACTGAAATTATATACCACAGAGTCACTAGGTTATTAACTGGAGATATGTTAAAGCAAGACCTTCAGTGACTGCTGCTCTGTTTCTGAGCCAAATCTAAAGCATTAATAGTTAAAGATCTACATATGGCTTGAGGCCTGGGTATCCAAAGAAAAAAAATCTTTTCATTCTGACTTGTTTGTGTGCTGCAAATATCTTCAAGTGGCAGTGGAAGCAAAGGGGATGGTGGTTGAAAAGAGAGTCTAGCAACCTCATCAGATGAGGGAAATTTAGTGTCCTAAGATGCTTTCACCTTCTCTTCTGGACAGAGATTCATGCCGGCCATCAAACGGCATTGTGTGACTTCCAGCAGAGGCCCCGTTCCCAACTGGGGTGAAAGCATTGCTGGATAGTTTCCCCACAACATGGGAAGCTTTTCCATGAAGGCGACGCTTCCCCCATGTGATGGGAAAAGCGTCATTGAGAGGGAGTTGAATGCAGGGTGACAAATTTGCTCCATTGCCTCTCTCCTTTCGCCATGATGGCAGGCAAGGCGGGCCTTTGTGATGAAGCCCTAACTGAGCAGACTGTAAGCAGGGGCAGCTCAACCCATTACGCAAAGTAAGCATTTGCAGTATAGTTGATTTTGCCCAGGGGCGCTCTTGAGGCGCTCTTGGGGGAGAATAGACCTTGACATATGCGAGTTGTAGTTACTGGGATGTATAGTTCACCTACAATCAAAGAGCATTCTGAACTCCACCAATGATGGAATTGAACCAAATATGGCACACAGAACTCCCACGACGAACAGAAAATATATATCAGTGATTGGTTGGCGGCGGGGGGGGGGGGGGATACTGTTTGTTTACCATTGAAACGTACTTAGGGCTGCCTCTGACTGTAAGGAATTATAAGAGGATGATGTTGCACCAATGTTACTGCCTTTCCAATTCTAGACAAAGACTGAAATATCTGTTCAGATGCTGATATCAGTTTAGTTACTCCTTCCATTGCCCTGTTTTGATTGCTGTTGCTTTCTAGTGTTTTAAATATATATCTTCTTCCTCATTGGGAATCACCCTGATACTGCCTATTTTAATAAATATGACTTGGTTCAATACATGTGTAGGTTTCTTCAAAATGCAAGTAAGAATAATAAAATTAGAAGTGGCTATATATTCACTTAATGTAGATTTATTTATAAGCTAGTCACACAGAGAGACACAGGTGAGTTCAAATTTTAAGTATTCATAGGTCCATATCGACAATCTTAACTTGTATCTTAACAGGGTATAATCATTCATAAACTGAATTTTAACCAATATAAATAAAAATGTAAAACTTCAAAGAGCTGAGGAGTGCCCAGAATAGAATCCAGATTTCCTGACTTGGCTCTTTAATCATGAAGCCACTTTTCTTTACTTCCTGAAGCACAATGTGATATACTATAAAGCATATAAATAGTAATGTACTCAGAGAAAGGATGGGTATGTGCCAAATAACTTAGGGAGGGACATAGAAACTTCCCCTTCTTATGCACTTGTATGAAGATTGATTTTTTTAGCTTGGCTCAGATCTGAATTAAAATGTTTAATTTCAATTTGATCTAATTGTATGGGGATTGTGCTGACAAAAAAGTTGTATACTAAATGTGGATTAGTTATCACTTATCCTTTACTTAATCTCATATTCTCAATTAGAGACGTGAAATAATGAATTTCCCCTTCTGCTGGCCCAAATCAGTTTGCTGTCTGAGAAACTAGAAAACATGACAAGTATTGAGAAGTAATTTTCAGCATCCAAAGTAGTAAGCTGTACAGTAAAATGCTATGAAACACATGGCATTAATTTGTTGTTAACTTCCATAAAGTCACTTTGTCATCATCAGCTCAGGTCTTGCAGACTCAGGACTGTGACTTCCTTGACTGGAATGCTGTCGTCTTTTCCAATTGCCTTCTAGCAGTGTTCTACTTTTTAGTGAATTATGTCAAAGTATCACAGTCTGAATTTAGTCATCATGGCTTCTAGAGAGAGTCCAGGTTTGATTTGTTCTAAGACACATGCGTTTGTTTTTTCGCAGTCCATGGTATCCACAGCATTCTATTTGAAATTACCATATATACTCAAGTATAAGCTGACCCGAATATAAGCCGAAGCACCTAATTTTACCACAAAAAACTGGGAAAATGTATTGACTTGAGCATAAGCCAAGGGTGGGAAATGCAGCAGCTAATGGTAAATTTCAAAATAAAAATAGATACCAATAAAATTACATGATTTGAGGCATCAGTAGGTTCAATGTTTTTGAATATTTACATAAAATTGTAATTTAAAATAAGACTGTCCAACTCTGATTAAACCATCTTCAATGTAAATGTGCTTACGTTATCCTTCCAATAAGAATAAAGAGAGTAAAATAATAATAATAAAAGTAACAATAGAGTAAAATAATGGAAATGTAATAATAACAATAAAGTAATAAAAGTAATAAAAACAATAGATCAAAATAATAATAATAATAATAATAATAATAATAATAATATAGGTAAACAATAAATAACCTTGACTTGAGTATAAGCTGAGGGAGGCTTTTTCAGCCTAAAAAGGGGGCTGAAAAACTTGGCTTATACTTGAGTATATACGGTAGTTGATTTTCTTTCTATCAGTTTTCTTCTCTGTCCAGAATTTATAACCATACACAGAAATTGAAAATATGATGGCATGGACAATCATAACATTAGTACCGTAGTTAATAACATACTTGACACTTCAGGACCTTGTCCTGTTCCTTCATAGCTGCCCTTCCAAGTCCATATATATATATGGTTGCAGTTTCCATTCTGACTGGGCCAAGATCTGGATACTCTTGAATCACTTCAAGGTCTTCACTATGTAACTTAAAAGTTACGTAAATCATATGTGGTCATGATTTTTGTTTCCTTAATGTTCAACTATAAACTTGCCTCTACACTTTCTTTCTTGACTTTATTCTATAATAATTCCAAATCTTTGTTATTTTCTGCAAGTTATGTGGCTTCATTGGCATATCTTAAATTGTTGGTATTCTTTGCTCTGATTTTCACATCTCCTTCCTCCAGGTCTAATTTTGCTTTACAAATAACAGATCCAACAGGATAAATTATTGTTAGCATTTCCTGCTTCTCGATTTCCAATTTTGCTGAATGTGACATTAAATAAATGATCAATTTTTGTGGAGCTTTGGCTATGTAATAAAGTTGCTTGCTGAATTTGTTTTTCCGGTTTCATTCGTCTCTTTCGTGTCTTTCTTCGGGAGCACGAAACAGAAAAGCCCCTCCCGCTATGAAAATCTGATATTTGATTTCTCAAAATAGGAAACACAGTTGGATGAAAAGAAATTAGACCACCAATTATGTCATGAGTAACAGCAAACAAGTGGGTGTACAGTCATTATGTACCTATTAAATTGCAATAGCTCTATATAATTGTACGTAATTTCAAAGATAAGCTCTGGACATTATGCATGGAAGTTTGCTGTGTCTCTCTCTCATTATATGTTTGTGTCATTAATAAAGACAAAATGTCTCATCTTGAGCTGGCTCTGCTTGGAAAGTCTATTATATAAAGAATATTTATTGAAGCGTTTGGGCTCTTTAATAACCTCAAGTCACAGCAGAACTGAATGGCAGAAATTATAGACTAATAACTAAGGGAAATGACCTCACTTAATTTGATGTGAGAAATATCTGCTTGATCAGATCTATTTTATTTCACTTGCTGTGCATCCGCTATGATATCTGGCTCCGTCAGCCTTATAGCCCACATAAATATAATGTGACAAGTTAGATATAAGGTTATGAAAATTGCAGACCGAGCATGATAAAGTTGTGGTATATAGGTCAATAGTTAAAGCATCCGGAAGACTGAATTACATCCAGTGTACTTTTAGTATATAGATACACAGTGATAATGAGGAAGTGTAAATCTTTGTTGTAGAATTGATTGGTATTTTGCTTAGTTTAGAAGAGTCTTCAAGTTAGTCTGTTGGACAAAATTCACAGTTATGTGACACCTAAATGACAAATAAGCACATTCAGTTCAAAACCCACAGATTGTGAAACTACTATAAAAATGGTTATAGAAGACATGTAACCTAGATCAGTGGCTCTCAACCTGCGAGTCCCCAGATGTTTTGGCCTACAACTCCCATAAATCACATAAATATCAATAAAATATTGAAGAGTAGAGACATCACACTGGCAACGAAGATCCACATAGTTAAAGCAATGGTATTCCTTATAGTAACCAATGGATATGAGAGGTGGACCATAAAGAAGGCTGAGTGAAGGAAGATAGATGCTTTTGAACTGTGGTGTTGGAGGAAAATTGTGAGGGTGCCTTGGATCACAAGAAGATCAAACCAGTCCATACTTCAGAAAATAAAGCCCTACTGCTCACTGGAGGAAAGGATATTAGAGGCAAAGATGAAGTACTTTGGACACATAATGAGAAGACAGGAAAGCTTGGAGAAGACAATGATGCTGGGGAAAAGGGAAGAGGGGGCGACCAAGCATAAGATGGATGGATGTTATCCTTCAAGTGGCTAGTATGACTTTAAAGGAGCTGGGGATAGCCACGGCTGACAGGTAGCTCTGGCGTGGGCTGGTCCATTAAGTCATGAAGAATCAAAAGCAACTGAATAAACAACAGGATTTCTGGAAGTTGAAGCCCAAAACATCTGGGGATCCACAGGTTGAGAACAGGCGTTAGCGGTGGCTGGGAGGGCTTTCGCACAATTGAGACTCGTGCACCAACTGCAACCATACCTCGTGAAGGCGGATCTGGCCAAGGTGGTCCACGCCTTAGTCACTTCCAGATTGTACTTCTGTAATGCACTCTACGTGGGGCTGCCCTTGAAAACGGCCTGGAAATTTCAATTGGTCCAACGGGCGGCGGCCAGGTTGTTAACTGGTGCTCCTTACAGGGAGAGGTCAACCCCCCTGTTTAAAGAGCTCCACTGGCTGCCATTCATTTTCCAGTCCCAATTCAAGGTGCATGTGCTTACCTACAAAGCCCTAAATGGTTTGGGGCCCACCTACCTGCGTGACCGCATCTCTGTGTACGAACCCACACGATTTCTTCGTTCATCTGGAGAGGCCCTGCTCACGGTCCCACTCTGGAACTCTCTCCCTAAGGACATCAGGCAGGCCCCATCGCTAGCAATCTTTAGGAGGAGCTTGAAAACGTGGTTGTTCCTTATCCTTTCCAGATTAAGGAAACTCCTAGCATTACGTCCCAACGCACTTTATCAGAGATCCAGGATATCTGCATACCTATCCCCCTCCAAATACCCCACCTTGTCATGCCCAGCACTTTTAATTTTAATTATTACATTTGGTCCGGCCATTGTTTTTAATTGCGCCATTGGGTGTTGTTAATTGTTATTGCTTTGTTTTTTTTTTTTTAGTTATTGTGTTGTTGTTGTTGCTGTTTGATTGTTGTATTTGGGCTCGGCCTCTTGTAAGCCGCACCGAGTCCTTCGGGAGATGGTAGTGGGGTACAAATAAAGGTTTATTATTATTATTATTATTATTATTATTATTATTATTATTACCACTGACCTAGATTGATTTTGGTATATCTTGCTCATCAACATTGTAAATTTAGGATTTACTGTCATGAACCCCTGTGTACAATCTATTTGTACAATCTATTTGCCTGTGTACAATCTATTGACCCAGTGTTATGTATATTTGAGCCCTGTGAACATTTAACAGTGTATTTCACTGCAGTCATAATTCATAGAAAGTCACCCCTGATTTACACAGAAGTGGCACAGCAGGCTAAACTGCTGAACTTGCTGACTGAAAGGTCAGCAGTCCAAATCTGGGGAGTGGGGTGAACTCCTGCTGTCAGGCCCAGCTCCTGCCAACCTAGCAGTTTGAAAGCATGAAAATGTGAGTAAAGCAATAGGTACTGCTTTGGCGGGAAGGTAACAGCGCTCCATGCAGTCATGCTGGCCACATGACCTTGGAGGTATCTATGGACAACGGCAGTTCTTTGACTTAGAAATGGAGATGAGCATCATCTCCCAGAGTTGGACATGACTAGACTTAATGTCAAGGGGAAACCTTTACCTGTTTGAAATGAAGAAATCAAATATAATGTTACAAGTGAGATCAATTAAATGGATATATACAGGAAATAGACTTAAAGCTCATTAGAACGAAAATCCGATGGTCTGATTTTCATGGTGACTGATTTCAAAGAATACCACCATCCATGCCACGTGTACCACACAATCCCATTGTCTGTTGTTGCTGAGTAGGGTCCATCGTAATACAGGCCATTAAGATTGGCAGAGTGACATCTGGTAAAAAAAGAAAACAAATAAAAGATACATTTTAACTTAAAACAAGAACCAGCTATTTCTCTGGTAGTTGCATATGTGGATTATTGCATATGTAGTGCTAGAATCCATTTATCAATTCCTCTCTGACTTGTCATAATTTTCAAGTTTCACAAGTACTTCCATCATCGTGTACATTCTAGCTTGATCTTAAAAGATATACCAAATAGAAAAAAAGAAAAAGGATTTAGAAACCACAAACCTGAATTGTGTTGGGGTTTCCATTACAGAGTTCAACATAACAAAGTGATAAGGTACACAATGACAAGGGATTTTGGAATAATAATAATAATAATAATAATAATAATAATAATAATAATAAGGATCGTTGATGTTGAAATCCCAGGTGACAGCAGAATTGAAGAGAAGCAACTGGAAAAGCTTAAACAATACAAGGATTTAAAGATCGAACTGCAAAAACTCTGGCACAAGTCAGTAAAGGTGGCCCCAGTGGTGATCAGCACACTGGGTGCAGTGCCTAAAGACCTTGGCCAGCACTGGGAAACAATTGGCGCTGATAAAATTGCCATCTGTCAGCTGCAAAGGACCACCCTACTCAGATCTGCATGCATTATTCACCAATACATCACATAGTCCTAGACATTTGGTAAGTGTCTGACGTGTGATCCAATACAAAAGCCAGCATAGTGATCTTGTTTGCTGTGTACTAATCTTGTAGTGTATCTTGTAATAATAATAATAATAATAATAATAATAATAATAATAATAATAATAATAATAATAGTTTACCTACCTCTCCCTGTGGCTCAAAGGGGTATATCATTAAAACATGATATAAAACACTATCAGAAGACATACAACAAGATCCACACAGTTAAAAATACAAGTTAAAACTCACCTATAAACTGCAGATTCAAGTTCACAGTTTAAAACATATGTTACAATAGACATTGTGTGTGACATTTTAACATTTCCATAGCTCAAAACTGAAGGTTGTTCCCTTATCACTCCAAAATGGTATCCAGCTATAATACACAGCAATTTTGTTTTTAAGGTAGCAACTTCTCCATTACATTATATAGGATTTCTTAGCACTCCCTCCTTTCTGATTGCCCCAGAGTTGTGAACTGTGGGCCCCTCCAGATGTTGTTAAACTGCAACTCACAGCAGCCCCAGTTTGCCCATCCCGTGGCGAGGAATGCTGGAAGATGTAGTTCAACGGTATCTAGTGGCCACACAATTTCCACCTGTATGCTCTCTGAGAAGGTCTGAGAATACAGTCTTAAAACTCTTTTTATTCTTTTGTTTACAGATTGTACTTAGGAGAAAGATATCTGGCAATCAAAACCCACTGAAGGAATGTTCATGTTCTGTTTGATTAGTTGCTCTGGAGGGACTTTGTGAATGCATTTTCTGCCAACACATGGAGTTAACATGGCAGGACAAAAGTGATGACGCTAGCTATTAGGCAACTGATTGGTATCTGTTAGGAACTCTTGTTGCAGGTTAAATATAGGCAGACTGGCCAACGGCCAGCAGCTTAGATTTGCTGAGCTACCTTTTCATTGGCTATGCAGAAAGCCTCCCTCTTCTGCTCTAACACTCCACAGCCTTCTTTGATACTTCTATGAGCTGATTTCAAAACTCTTTGTGATATATACAGGGATTCATATGTTTCCATAAGAGGATGGGGCAATTATTGTTGTTGTTTTCATAATGGTCTGAAAAATAGAACAGTGACTTCTACGACATACTGTTGAGAGTCAGCCGGTCTCTTGCTTCAGAGCAGGAAAATTAGCAAGTGCTTTGTCATTATTTGCAGCTAGAGTTCAGAAGCTAGAAGAATAGGGAAAAACCACTCTCTTTGAAGAAAAAGATAGGATTTCTCATTTACAGTAGAATGGGCTACCTGGAAATATCACTATAGTCAGCCACCCTTATTCACTGGGGTTAGGGACACAGAGCCACTGTGAATATGAAAAACCACAAATAAAGAAATTGCTATTTTTTTTAACTTGTGAGAACATCTATCTAGGAACTTCTAGGTCTTCCAGAATGATTCTGTGGTCAACTTTCATTGGAATCAGGCAGTATAATTGCTTTGGATGATCTAGAGCTGTGTTTCTCAAACTCTGCTCCTCCAAGTGTTTTGGACTTCAGCTCCTAGAAATCCTAACCAGTTTACCAGCTGTTAGGAACTGTGGGAGTTGCAGTCCAAAACATCTGAGGAGCACAGTTTGGGAAACTATGATGGTGTTGTTGTTGTTCATTCGTTCAGTCGTCTCCGACTCTTCGTGACCTCATGGACCAGTCCACGCCAGAGCTCCCTGTCGGCCGTCACCACCCCCAGCTCCTTCAAGGTCAGTCCAGTCACTTCAAGGATGCCATCCATCCATCTTGCCCTTGGTCGGCCCCTCTTCCTTTTACCTTCCACTTTCCCCAGCATAATTGTCTTCTCTAGGCTTTGCTGTCTCCTCATGATGTGGCCAAAGTACTTCAACTTTGTCTCTAGTATCCTTCCCTCCGATGAGCAGTCGGGCTTTATTTCCTGGAGGATGGACTGGTTGGATCTTCTCGCAGTCCAAGGCACTCTCAGCACTTTCCTCCAACACCACAGCTCAAAAGCATCATCTTCCTTCGCTCAGCCTTCCCTAAGGTCCAGCTCTCACATCCGTAGGTTACTACAGGGAATACCATTGCTTTGACTATGCGGATCTTTGTTGCCAGTGTAATGTCTCTACTCTTTACTATTTTATCGAGATTGCACATTGCTCTCCTCCCAAGAAGTAAGCGTCTTCTGATTTCCTGGCCACAGTCTGCATCTGCAGTAATCTTTGCGCCTAGAAATACAAAGTCTGTCACGGCCTCCACATTTTCTCCCTCTATTTCCCAGTTGTCAATAATTCTTGTTGCCATAATCTTGGTTTTTTTGATGTTTAGCTGCAACCCAGCTTTTGCGCTTTCTTCTTTCACCTTGATTAGAAGGCTCCTCAGCTCCTCCTCGCTTTCGGCCATCAGAGTGGTGTCATCTGCATATCTGAGGTTGTTAATGTTTCTTCCAGCAATTTTCACCCCAGCTTTGCATTCATCAAGCCCCGCACAGCATGATGTGTTCTGCATACAAGTTAAAAAGAACTATGATGTAGAGCTTCCTAAAAAAGTGTTGTCTGTAGGGATCTCTAGGTCTTCCGGCATGAGTGGAAGGATTTGACTGTAGAGTCACACTGGAGGGCCTAAAGAGTTCAACAATTTAAAATCAAATACATGAATAATCGAATCTGCAGAATTCAAAACTACAAATTTAGAGGGACAACTGTACAAGTAAAATGGCCGTCATTGTAAGGGGAAGGATGCCTGTATCAAGATTACTGAGCCAACAATGTGATGCAGCAGCTAAAAAAGCGAATGGGATTTTGGGTTGCATCAAAAGAAGTATAGTAGTGTCTAATTTGAGGAACATCATGGTGCCTCTCTATTCTGCTCTATTCTGGATAGACTTCACCTGGAATGCTATACCCAGTTGTGGGCACCACAGTTCAGAAGACATATTGACAAGCTGGAAGGTGTCCTGAGGAGAGCAACTAAAATGATCAAAGGTCTGGAGACCATGCCCTATAAGGAGTGTCTTAAAGAACTGGGTATGTTTAGCCTGCAGAAGAGAGGTTGAGGGGGGACATGATAGCTATGTATAAATATGTGAAAGGGTGTCATAAGGAAGAGGGAACAGACTTGTTTTCTGCTGCCCTTGAAACTAGGACTCGAAGCAATGGGTTCAAATTACAAGAAAGGAGATTCTACCTGAACATTAGGAAAACTTTCTGATTGTATGAGCTGTTCAACAATGGAACTCTCTGCCGCTGAGTGTGGTTTAAGCTCCTTCTTTGGAAACTTTTAAACAGAGGCTGGATGACCAGGGATATTTTGATTATGTTGTATGACAGCCTGTTCAGCCTGTGATTGTGTCTAATGATCAGGTTGCTTTGGATGATGAGAATGACAATATTGATCATGTTCAAGTTGACTCCTCTGATGGGAATGGGGATGCTATCCATGAAGATGTTCCTGAAGGGAATGGGGATGATGGTCTGCTTCCTGGGCCTGGTTTTAGAGATGTGGGGTATGAGTGCAGTTCAATTGATGGCTTAGAGAGGCCTGTATAGCTGCGAAGGGATTCTCAAGGTCTCGAGAATCCCTTTGCGGGAAAGGCCTGGTCAGTTTTTTAATGAAGCCTTGAACAGAAGAAGTGCTTTTAGCAAAGACAAACAAATCAGAAATTAAGGCACTCAGTCATATTAGAGCAGAAGCAAGATGTGAAACCAAAACCGAGGAAAAATCCGTTCTTAGCTCTTTGGAAAACAAAGTAGACATATAAGTGCCAAGTACTGAGTCTAGCTTCAAATGAAGCAACGTTGGCTTCATGTTAAGTTCTTCATGCCAAGTTCCTGGACCTTTGTCTTTCTTTGATTCCTGTTTTAAATGCTTTTGCTGTTGTCTTTGACATCAAACCTTTCATTTCATGGGCTTCTTTGGACTATATCTCTTTGGATTTATTGCTCTTTTTACTTCCTAATCAATTGGATTTACCTTTTACTGTGGATTACTCTATTGTTTTGGCTTTTATTATCCTCAATAAACTGCTTGCTATTTTAACTCAACCACGTGGTGTTTAAAATCAGAGGGAATTCTGCTCTGGAGTGCAACAGATTATGCTTTTCCTGCATGGCAGGCGGTTGGACTAGATGGCCCATGTAGTCTTCACCAACTCTATGATCATAATGTCCTTTTGAGGGATGGGATATACCTCATGTTCCTCTGATACATGAGCTGAAGGATGTTATCACATGCATGTTCTGTTTAAGATGCCAGAGGTATCTTCTCAAAAGTGCCATGGGCATCTTTTTGTCCACTGTGGAAACAAAAAGGTGCATTGAATACATCTTTGGTCTGATTTAGGACTTCATCTCACGCGATAAGTAAAGCGTTTCAGTATGGAGGCAAAC